CCCCACCCCCCGGGGGCTGGGCCTGCTGCCAGCCGCTTCTGGAGCACAGCACAGTCTGCAGTGCCAGGACAGGCAGGGAACGGCCTTAGCCCCCACTGGTCACCCTGCAGCAATGAGCCCCAGGGCCTGACATTCCACCCGCCCCCCAGCCCTGGGTCGCAACCCCTAGTCTGAAAACCACTGGCTTTCGTCACATGATCCCTCAAGGTCATGAGGGTGTAAAGGCTGTAGGATCCAGCTGGGCAGTGCGGGGCGGGGAGCTGCGGGGTTCTGGTTCCGAGCCATGTCCCCATCAGCCAGAAGAGATGCTGATTCCCCCTGTGCCATAACTGAGGTTCTTGGAGATGTGTGTCCCGGTGGGTGCTCTGCTTTAGGGCCGGGCGCGTCCTGGCGCTGCTGATCAGAGACTTTTGGGAGCAGGGCCAGATTAAGGGTGGGGGCTAGCCGGGCAGCTGCCCGGAGCGCTAACCTATGGGGGCGCACCTGATTGAAGTGGTAAGGGGTGCTGCATCAGGCGCCCCCCATAGGTTGCCGCCTGGAGGCGGGGCCGTGCATGTGCCACGTGCCTGGGCACGTGGCACCTGATTGACATGTACGAGGTGCCACGCACCCAGGCGGGACTGCGCATGTGCTGTGCGCCCACTGCCCAGGGCGCAAGAATGGCTCAGGCCGGCCCTGTTTGGGAGTTGTGCCTGGTGATGCCACGTGCCCAGGCACGTGGCACCTGATTGACATGTATGGGGTGCCACGCACCCAGGCGGGACTGCGCATGTGCTGTGCGCCCACTGCCCAGGGCGCAAGAATGGCTCAGGCCGGCCCTGTTTGGGAGTTGTGCCTGGTGAGGGTGCACATGAGCAGTAGCCACCTGGTATTGCTGGTACGCATCTGTCCAAATCCCCTCTCTACCGTAAAGCTCAAATAGCGAACTCCAGAACAGAGGGGAGAAGGGACCGTAGTGGAGCACACACAGGGACACACACTGCCTGGCTGAGTCACCTCCTTTGACTAAGTGCTATGCCTGCAGGTACTCCACTTTTGGTGACTCTACTGTAGGGTAAACTAAGGCAGCCCTAAAAGTGCTAGTAGGCCTCTAAACAGCATAACTCCATTCCCACAGTCAGGATAAGAACTGCAGACAGTAAAAGACCCTGGGCACCATAGCAACCACGTTCTAAAACATTCAAACAAGGTCTCAGTCGGTAACATAACACATTTTGCTTAAGATAACATTCATAAAATTTGCTTAAACTGTCTTGCTTCACTCCTAGATAATAAGCCTGAGAACCAAGTGCTGCACCAACTCAAGGCCATACCCGCCTGCTATAGCAACATCATCATCTGTGCAGACTAAAATGTTATTACTGTTTTGCTAACATGTTTTGGCATTTAAACAATAACCATCTGTATATTAATTAATGAGCTGTTACTTTGCAATGGGCGGAGATATTATGTAATCTTTAGTAGTTCTATTGGCTTATGTGCTCATTTAGTCTTGCTGCTAGACCTATCAAATCATTTTTCCTCCGTCCACCTGCTGACTATATAACCTATTGTATAGTGTTAATTAACCAGTGTTCACCAGGGTAACCCCTGCGTGTCACTCCATCAGCTGGTGTAATAAATCCTCCGCTTGTTTTCATCTGCATCCAGAGTGTCCTGGTTTATTTCCAACATCTACAGAAGTGCCTCATTAGGCAAAGCTGGGGTCTGGCATAGGTTGATGATAATGCCGAGTATTGCATCGTTCTCAGAGCTTGTTGTTAGTCCATGGTGATTAGTGTATATTGAAGCCCAGCTAGCAGCCTGATAGATCTCTGATCCCTGACAGGGGTTCTAGCTTTGGTGGCAGATAACAGAGGTGGGAAGAAATCCATTTTGATACCCTGTTTCAACATGGTGGTGCCTTTCGATCCAGAATGCGCTGGCACCGAAAATGGGTCACCCACCAGGTCAGCACTCGAAGAGGAAGGGAAGAAAACTCTGCTCCCCCGCCCATTGTGGAGTTTGTGGGATAGAGTCAGGCTGGAGAAACCTGCTACCCCGGGGTTGTAACTAGCAACACACAACTCTCTCTGAGCCTGTGTTGTGCGTTACCAGCTCCTCCTGGCTCTGGAGCACGAGCAGTCGCGAGCTCTTCCCCAAGCAGTCGTCCCGGCTCCCAGCCCAGTTTTTACTCCCTTTCGACAGCCAGTAGCACTTGTCCCCACGCAGCAGCCAGTCCCTGGGGCAGAGTTTGCACCCAGCGCCCCCTGCAGGGAGAGATGGGAACAGAAGTGTCTTAATTCTGAACATTCAAATGACAGCCAGCTGAAAACTCTTGTTCAAAGTTGTTTTTTTAATGGAAAATTCCATTTGGACAAAAAATGATTTTTTAAAGTTTTGGTGTCATTTTCATTTTTTTATGAGGGGAAGGAGCTTACACTGGAAATACTAATTTTTTTGAGAGGTAGGGGAGGATTTCATTCAGATTTGGAGGGGAAAATCAACACTCCTAACATTTCCCCCATTGGAAAAGAGGGAGAGGATTTCACTCTTCTACTCCCTTAAAAGGACACCAACATTTCTTTTCATATATTTCACGAGCCAGGTTTGCGGTGTATCAGCTCTAGTTCTGGATATTGCTGAAGTTTCCCCTACAACTGCGTAAAACTTCAGAGTTAATGTACTAGGCAGGACTTTTCTCAGGGGTCAGCATGCAAGCAGCAGGATGTGCGGTAGTCCAGGCATGACGGGTGCTGGCTGAGGGTACATCTACACTGTATGGCTATTTTGTGATACTGGAGGTATCCCAAAATAGCTACCTCGCATCTTAATAAGCTGCCCCTTATTACGAAAGCGACAAGGAGTCCTGTGGCACCTTATACTAACAGATTTATTGGAGCATAAGCTTTTGTGGGCAAAGACCCACTTCATCAGATGCATGTAGTGGAAATGTCCAGAGGCAGGTATAAATATGGAGGCAAGAATAAGGGTAGAGATAACGAAGCCAATTCAGTCAGGGAGGATGAGGCCCACTTCTAGCAGCTAATCTGGAGGTGTGAACACCAAGAGAGGAGAAACTGCTTTTGTATGTGGTATTCACACCTCCCAATCACCTGCTAGAAGTGGGCCTCACCCTCCCTGACTGAATTGACCTCGTTATCTCTACCCTTATTCTTGCCTGCATATTTATACCTGCCTCTGGAAATTTCCACTACATGCATCTGATGAAGTGGGTCTTTGCCTACAAAAGCTTATGCTCCAATACATCTGTTAGTCTATAAGGTGCCACAGGACTCCTTGTAGCTTTTGCAGATCCAGACTAACACAGCTACCCCTTTGATACCCTTCTTACAAAATACTTTTCAAAATAATGGGTGCACTATTTCACCATCTCTGTAACCTGTTAAGGGATGTCTGGAAATAGTGCATTATTTCAAAATTAGGTGCTGTGTAGACACACCAAATATCAAAATAACCTATTCTGAAATAGAATCAAAATAAGATACACAATTGGCGTAGCACAATTTGCGTATCTTATTTCGAGTTTAGGGGTCCGTGTAGACGCACTCTGAGCTGGGAGGCCAGAGAAGAGAAAATTCACTCAAAGCCTATACACAGAGTTGCTCTCTTGCTAAAGATCTTCTGTAACTCAGTTACAAGTTCTGGACTCGACCCAGGAATCACTGTATGGGACTGTCTCTGGATTGGTGCATTAAACGTTGTTCACTGAGGTTTGGCCACAACAGCGCAGAAAAGCTTAATAGAGACAAGTTCGACATATGCACTGATGGGAGTCCTGAAGGGAAATTCTGTATGGAAACAGATAATATTGATGACTGAGACTGAGGTAGAAGGACCAAGGCAGAACTGAACCCAGCTAGCAGTAGGGGGCGCTGTACCACTGCTACTGCCATGCTTCAGCTGAGATCTAAAAGCAATGTCCCCTTGGGATCATTAAGAACACAAGAGCTTCCCAGTTATGATGTAAACTTCGAAGAAATGTGCGAAAAGCTGCAGCAGCAGAAGTCCCATTAAATAAAGTCTCATTAAATAATGGCTCATTGATGCTGTCATTAATCATTATGTCAATGATCAATAATAGTAAGTTGTACAGTTTCAGTCATGCAAATGCGAGTTTTTATAAGGCTCTATGTTGACCACTTGATCTGAGTTTTAATGCAGTTTGGCTCTTTGGTTGGAAAAGGTCCCCCCACCCCCGCATTAGTTATAAAAAGTCCATTTGCTTAAAAATAGCCCTGTTGTCTGAACATTGTTTTCCTGCTGTCGTTACAAGGGGAATTGACAAAAATGGCCTTTTTTCAAAATGAAATTCTTTACAGGACACCTGTTTCATGTGACTTTTTCTATTTTTTGTTGAAACAGACTCCTGCCTCACATTGACTAAAAAGTGAAAGATGACTCCCTTCGTTAGGCACTGTCATTTTGGCAATGTTGCCATCTCTCATTGTTATCACATGTCCTGTGAAGTTTGGTGTTTTCTTTAAAATCCCAGCTTGTGGGGTCATGGGATTAGGGGAGAAGCTGTTTCATTACAGAAAGTTCCTGGTCCTTGTAAGTCCTACAAAAGCCTGACAGCACAACCCAAGTGCAACCTAAAGGCTCAGAAACCAGAAGGCAAATATAAAGAACCCCCAAATCATAATTTTCCTAAAATACGCCAATCTCATGATTTTTTAGGGCCTGACGCATGGTTTTTGGATGCCTGGGGACTGCTACACTGGCATAATGGATCCTCAATAGGAACGAACATCTGATCATTGTATTTCGAGCTGACAACACCCCTTGAACATAGTGACTGAATTTTCAATCATAGTGAGTGAATTTTAAATCAAACTCTTTAGGAGGGAGTGACTCTTGGCTCTGGGACATCCGGAGCTGTGCTTACCTGGGAAGCTGTGCGGCTCACATAGAATTGGTTTCAAACGGGACCGGAAATCCTCCAGGCAGGAGCTGCATTCAGTGCTGCTGATGCCGGTTTCACTATTCTCCGGTGTATTCCGAGCTCCTCCGGTCTGTCCTTCTCCAGAGCCACGCAACTGGGAAACTTCAAAAGAGCATCCGCGTCAATGAAAAGCACTTCTAGTGCAGCTGGTTAGGGATTAAAAATAACATTGGGAGGGTGTAGAAACATCACACAGTGTAGTGTCTATCACAGTGAGGGTGAGGACAGAGGAAGAGAATCTGGTTCACTACATAGCGTAAGTGCCTTTGTGACTTCCATCAGCCTGCCTTAGCTGGATCACACGAGTTTCATGCATCCAGCTCTTAACTGCCACCTTGTTCCTGTAACGTTTTGGCCTGGTGGCGATGTAATGCCCAGGGTTTAATTTGCAGACACACTGGAATCAGGAACAGAACAGCCTTAAGAATTGAGGATGAGATGAGAATTCATGATGCACCATCAAACCCAAATGGATAAATAGATTGGCACCGGGTTGTGTGTGTGCGTGGGGGGGTGGGCAGGCCTTGCTCTGGGGCCCAGCAATTCAAAGGGGCCCAGGGCTCCTAGGTATCATCGCTGCTGCTATTGCAGTGGCCAGAGTCCTGGGCCCTTTAAAATTGACCACCTGGAGCACCATGCCCTGAGTGGGCAGCTCTGAGGACTGGGAGGGGGGCTGTGCTTTGGGCTGACTGCCCTGGCCCCGCTCCCTTTTGCCTGAGGTCCCACCCCTTGTGGGGTGCAGAACCGCCCCACCCACCTTGCTCGAGGGCCTGCACAAGCTGAGGGAGCCCCTGATGGGTGCTACTTACCCCAAACCCCCAGTGCTATCACAGCTACTGTCAGGACGACGTTCCCAGCCCATCCGGCCCCCACAGCGATGCGATGCCACCGGGGACATGGAGGGGGCCCTGTAAGACACAAAGTTTGGAGAAACACCCTCAGCCCCCAGTGTGAGAAATAGCAATGAAACTTGTTCTTCAGAGCCTATTGCAGCCTCCTGCCACGGGGCGTCCATTCCTCTGCACACACCACTAGGGGCAGCGTCAACAAGGGCAGCCTCTTCCACCCATTTTTCCCCCCCAGAAACATCATTGCGCCTTTTCCTACTTTGTCTCTTATGCATGGATGGCCCTCCCGGAGTCATTGTATAAAGCCACTGCTCTGCCCTGCTTCAGATCCCTTCTTATGTCCCCTGGGACCATGCCACCCGTGGTAAACTGCCTCGCAGTAACACCTAAACAAGTGGCCTGGTAAGGCAGCTGCTGAAGGGAGGGCTGTGGGGTACGTCCTCCAGTGGCCTAATAGCGAAGGCATGAGCCTCCAGAAGCTGAGGTTGTGGGTTCAAATCCCCTCCCACCTGCATGCCCATCTTGAGAGCAGCAGGGCACCCACCAGCAGCCTCCCCACGGCTGTAGCTGGGTGGGTGGCTTGCGCTGGTCTGCGCTCAACTGCCACATAGCCTGCCCTTGCTACCTACCAGAGCCAGGCCACTGTGCAACCCCAGAAATAAGCTACCCACCCCAAGGAGCAGCCAGGCACCCACCTCCAGCTTGCTCATGGCTGGAGCTGGCAGCAGCCGAAGGTGGTAGGGAGAAGGTAGCTGCTGCAGTGGCCACGCAGGGAAGGCATCAGCCTCTAGAGTTGTGGGTTCAAGTCTTCCTCCTTGCCCTGAGATCAGCCAGGCACCCTGGACCTTCTTGCCCAGGGCTGGAGTTGGAGCTGGCAGGGTCAAGATGGGTGACCTGCTCAGGGCTGTGCTCAGCTCAGCCATCATGAAGCCTGCCCTGCCCTGATTGTGGCTGGATATGGGGTTGGGCCAGGATTGCGTCCTCCCCTCCTACCTCTTTGGGGCCCAGTCTGTGGGGCCCAGACAGCCAAGCTGAGCCTAGGACAGGGAGCTGCAGCCAGATGAGGGGCTGGGCCCTGGTGGAGGCCTTTCAGGGCTGTCCCAGGAGCACGACACACCTAGGGACAGACTGCAGCCATCAGATGGGGGGGACGGGGGCTGGTCAGGTAGCTTGCTCTGGGGCTGTGCTGGAGCCAGGCCACCATAGCCAGATGGAGATAATCTGCCACCGCCAGCTCCTCTTCCGGCTTCGAGTGTGCCCTGGGAACATGCCCTCAGCTGGCCCCTTTCAATGAGCTGAGTCCCTCAGCCAGCTCTTTCCATGGTGCAGCTGGCTTTTACTGGGGGGTGCACGGCCACGTTGCCCAATACTTTTGGTGAGTGTGAGGAGACTGGACCCCTGCTGCTGAGTCCCAGCCCTGCTAGTCCCCCTGTGCTGCATCAGTTGTGGGAAGAGGTGGGGTGGAGATGGACCGAGGATGGGGAAGAGGAGGGGAGAGGGTGGAGCAAAGGTAGGGAGGAGCAGAACAAAGGCAGGGCCTGGGAGAGAGGGGGCTGGTCCCAGCCCTTCCCTGTGGTGGGAGGGAGGGGGTCTCATGGCTGTTGGCCCCCTATGTGCCTCCTTACTAGTCACCCCTTCCCCGAGTCCTGCGAGTCCTGCAATTGGATTCCTGCAGGTGGATCTTGGCGTCAATTGACTTTAATGGGATTCTGTGCAGACGTAAATGAAGGTCCACCCCTAACTCTCAGATCACCGGATGGGGACCTAAGTTTCCAGTCAAGCTAGTGTCAGTCTTTAGCTTAACAACGCCAGATAAGTGCAGCTAGAGAAGCAAATCTAGCTCTTGGATACGGTGGCGTAAGATTGGAGAAACTGCATTGACTCCTAACAGAGTCCCTCTGGATTTACTCTGATGTAACATGCAGAATCTAATTGCTAAAATATTTTTCAAGAGTACATCAGATCTGTATTAAATATTTGAAAATAATATCACAAGAGCTTGGAGACAGTTTCATGATGGTTCACAACAAAAATTAAATTTTTGATGAGACAGACCACTATTATGCTAGGTATTGTGATGTAAACGGATACCAAAGCAAGATCTCTTAGACAACGTCAACTCCTAATCACATCGTATCAGGCACTTTTGTAAAAGACTGTTTCAATGACTGTTTCAGCAAGCGCACAGCAAGAATTCTTTTAAGTATGATACATCTGTAGGTATTCTTAAAGAAGGAAAACTGATGAGATAAAAGAAGCCAGAATCATTGTCAATATCCAAGTTTAATTGAAGGTAGTAACCATATAGTATGATTGATTATATCATATCACCCCTTATATTCAGCTTCATTAAATATATGGGTGATTAGAGTGGGATTGTCAGAAACACCTAAGTCACTTGGGCACTTCAGAAAAATGTACTCTTTGTGTAAATCTGTAGCCTTACTGTATATATAGAAAATAGAGTGGAGAAATAGCTATTTAATATTTACATTATTTTCCCTCAGCTTCCGAAGTATCAAGATTTTTAACTCGTAATATAATTTTTCAGGGAAATCACAAATTATTTACACTATTCAGTTTATCTCCTTTAACTTACAATTGGTTCCAGCTATTTTCAGTATTCTTGTAACACTGAGATCCCTTCACTGGACTCCCCTCGGTCACTATCTTCTCCTTGACAGACTCTCCTAACTCCATGCTTCAGTTAAACTACAGGGCAATAAGTCGCCGTCTCTTCTGCACTCGGAAACAGATCACATCCTCTCTGTCCTTGCAAAACTTTCCCGGTTTCGTGTCCATTTCAGCACCCAGTAGAAAAATCCCCTTCCTTGTCTCTTTCATTCCCACCCACCCACTGGCCATATTTTTCTCCTTTCTTTCTCTTTTCCGGTTCCTACATTCTTCAGACACTGGTCTTCTCTCTCCTACTTATATCACTACTGCATTTAGTGGACTCCTTCCTTCCTGCCCCCACATTAAAGTTGGCCCTAGACCTGACTGGCACCCCAGGCCAGGAATATCTTTGGTGCCTCTCCATTTGTAAAACTTTTGTACACCTCATTAGTAGCCATTTCACTCTATGCCCAGCACCCCCTAAACACAGCCCCCCTGAAGGCGGTCGCCTGCCCCTAAATCCAGCCATGGCCACAGTACCTACTATCTACCACCATCTTTGGGACCTGTCCGATTCCACCTCTTCAGTCCTATGTGGATTTTAACCTTCTCCCTAATAAAACAAATTCTATTCTATGAGTCTCCCTCATTCCTTGTGCTCAGCCATTCTTTCTCAGACTCAGCCAATGTACTGCTCTCTGCCCCGCAACTATAACCCACTTTTTATGGATTGTTACCTTGGTAGTTGGCTGAAATAGTTATGAACCCAGTAGGAAGGGTATCATACAAAGAACAACTAGATTCCATTGCACTTGTATTTGCACGTCAGAGACTATGAAGTTTTCTGTGACAAACTAAAGTGCCCGCTCTTTCCTTCACAGAGTCCAATTGCTGAGAAAGCGGCGAGGAGTCCTGTGGCACCTTATAGACTAACTGAAGTGCCTCTATAAGACTATAAGTTGCCACAGGACTTCTCGTCGCTTTTGCAGATTCAGACTAACACGGCTACCCCTCTGACAATTGCTGAGAGTGGCTCAGAATTTCACATTAGCTAAGTCCTATCATCCATAAAGCACACAGCTGCTTGTTGGCTTTATTTCCCTAAACAATCTGTGCTGCAAATAAAAAAAAAAAACATTTAAAAAAGTGGCACCCTAAGCAAAGCCTGACCATACTGGTACACACAGATGAAACCTAATGCACTTACTGAGATGAGGAGATCCTTGTGGTGGCCTTGAAGAGGAACTGGCTCCAGGAATGTTTAAATCAGCATAAACTACCTCTCCAGCCATGGCAAGTACAAAGGAAGGTGTAAGCGCACAGCAGGGAGTTTGT